TTCCATGGAGAAGTCAGGTGTAAGTCTGATAGGTTTACCTTTATAAGTAATTTGGCCTTTTTCCTTTGCAGCTCTTAATATTCTTTCCTTATTCTGTATGCTTTGTGTTTTGATAATTATATGGCGAGGGGATGTTTTTTTTTGATCCAGCCTATTCGGTGTTCTGTATGCTTCTTGCACCTTCATAGGAAAATCTTTCCTTAGGTTGGGAAAGTTTTCTTCTATAATTTTATTAAATAGATTTTCTGGACCATTGAGCTGCCCTTCTTCTCCTTCTTCTACTCCTATTATTCTTAGGTTTGGTCTTTTTATTGTGTCCCATATTTCCTGAATGTTTTGTGATGAGAGTTTGTTGGACTTGCTGTTTTCTTTGATCAGTGTGTTTATTTTCTCTATGGTATCTTCAGAATCAGAGAGTCTTTCTTCTATCTCTTGTATTCTGCTGGTTATGCTTGTTTCTGTAGTCTCTATTCGTTTACCTAGATTTTCCATGTCCAGACGGCCCTCTGTTTGTGTTTTCTTCTTTGCCTCTATTTCAGTTTTCAAGTCTTGAACTGTTTCCATTATCTGTTTGATTGTTTTTCCTTGGTTTTCTAGGGTATCATTCACTGATTTATTCAATTCTTCAAACTTTCTGTTATATTTCTCATCCATTTCTATAAGGGCGTTTTTTACATGCTGTTTAAGGGTGTCAATCACTTTCATGAAGTCAATCTTTTCTCCTTCCTCTTGATTAAGGGGTTCTTGTCCTCCCGTTGTGAGGTCGCTTGTTTCTGGTAGCTTCATGTTGCTTTTCAGCTTGTTGGGCGAATTCTTGCCTTGACGTCGGCCCATCTCTTCTTCCAAATGCTCCCTATGGATCTTCTTTTACCGGATTAGGTCTCCTTGCCTACCAAACGCTGTCTCTCCCCAATGTTGGCTCTCCCAATGCTGGGTCTCCTGGCGCCGAAAGATCAGGCCTCCGTGCTGGTTGGGCAGCTCGCAGACAAAGCGCCTACCCCGCTTGGTGCAGGCAGGCCACAGAAACAAAGGAACTGCTGCCCGCCCGGGAGCCCCGGATACTCGGACCCAGCGCCCAGATAGGCTGGGCTGGGCGATGCCACGCGCCTAAAGAGGGCAGTGGGGGCGAAGTGGGGAGGGCTCTGGACGGAAGCTGGGTGGGCCAGGAAGAAAGAGGCAGCACCCGGGGAGTAGAGGCCCTGCAGAGAGCCCAAGCAGGACAGGGGGCCAAGAAACCCCCGAGCTCCCCGTCCCAGGCTGGCGCCGTGGGCCAGAAACTCACCCCAATGCTGGGTCTCCTGGCGCCGAAAGATCAGGCCTCCGTGCTGGTTGGGCAGCTCGCAGACAAAGCGCCTACCCCGCTTGGTGCAGGCAGGCCACAGAAACAAAGGAACTGCTGCCCACCCGGGAGCCCCGGGTACTCGGACCCAGCGCCCAGATAGGCTGCGCTGGGCGATGCCACGCGCCAAAAGAGGGCAGTGGGGGCGAAGTGGGGAGTGCTCTGGACGGAAGCTGGGTGGGCCAGGAAGAAAGAGGCAGCAGAGAGCCCAAGCAGGACAGGGGGCCAAGAAACCCCCGAGCTCCCCGTCCCAGGCTGGCCCCGTGGGCCAGAAACTCACCCCAATGCTGGGTCTCCTGGCGCCGAAAGATCAGGCCTCCGAGCTGGTTGGGCAGCTCGCAGACAAAGCGCCTACCCCGCTTGGTGCAGGCAGGCCACAGAAACAAAGGAACTGCTGCCCCCCCGGGAGCCCCGAGTACTTGTACCCAGCGCCCAGATAGGCTGGGCTGGGCGATGCCATGCGCCAAAAGAGGGCAGTGGGGGCGAAGTGGGGAGGGCTCTGGACGGAAGCTGGGTGGGCCAGGAAGAAAGAGGCAGCACCCGGGGAGTAGAGGCCCTGCAGAGAGCCCAAGCAGGACAGGGGGCCAAGAAACCCCCGAGCTCCCCGTCCCAGGCTGGCGCCCTGGGCCAGAAACTCACCCCAATGCTGGGTCTCCTGGCGCCGAAAGATCAGGCCTCCGTGCTGGTTGGGCAGCTCGCAGACAAAGCGCCTACCCCGCTTGGTGCAGGCAGGCCACAGAAACAAAGGAACCCAATGCTGGGTCTCCTGGCGCCGAAAGATCAGGCCTCCGTGCTGGTTGGGCAGCTCGCAGACAAAGCGCCTACCCCGCTTGGTGCAGGCAGGCCACAGAAACAAAGGAACTGCTGCCCGCCCGGGAGCCCCGGGTACTCGGACCCAGCGCCCAGATAGGCTGCGCTGGGCGATGCCACGCGCCAAAAGAGGGCAGTGGGGGCGAAGTGGGGAGGGCTCTGGCTGCTTTAAACAATTTTAAGCATTAACAATGGTGAGATCTTAGCCTGATCCCATGATTACTAATCTCTGTTAAGTTTCTTTATATTCCTCTTTTAAGGAAACCAAGGTTGGTGATGGAACTCAGTTAGTAGACTACTTACCTAGCATGCGTGAAACCCTAGATTTGATTTTCTGTACCCCAAAAATCAGGTATGGTGTAGGTAGGGGAGACAGGAAGATCACAAGTTTGAGGTCTCTCCCTTTATACTGAACGAGTTTGGTACCAGCTTGGGTTATGTGTGACTTGTATTAGACATTGGTCATTTCATTTTCATGCATATCCTTAGTATGTCCTACATAAACTTAGTATATCCTTGCTGGGCATTGTTTTCTTTTCATGCATAATCTTTCTCCACAGAATCTCAAAGGACAGGAAATTCTGTTAGAAGGCTAAGATACAGCATGTGGTGGTTTGCATGAGAATGGCACCCATAGCTCATATATTTGAATGGTTGGCCCCCAGTTAGCAGACCTGTTTGGGAAGGATTAGGAGGTGTGGGCTTGCTGGAGGAGGTGTATGATGTAAAGACTGTGAGACTGCAGATGACTCAGTGCCATTCCCAGTTAGCTCTCTGCCTCCTGGTTGCAGTTCTAGTGTGTGTTCACAGCTGCTCCTGCCTCCGTGCCTTTCTTCTACCATTATGTACCATAGTGCTCTGGTACCCTAAGCCCAATTAAAATGCTTCTTTTATAAGTTGCCACTGTCATAGTTTTTTATCTCAGTGTGGTAGCTTGAAAGACTCCAAGAGGAGTGGCACTACCAGGATATTTGACCTTGTTGGAGTGGGTGTAGTCTTGTTGGAGGAAGTATGTTGCACTGTGAAGGTAGGCTTTGAGGTCTCTGGTGTGTTCAAGCTGCGCCCAGCAAGCCCGACTACTTCTTGTTGCCTGTGATTCAAGATGTAAGAACTCTCGGCTACCTCTCCAGCACCATGTCTGTCTGCATGCCACCACCCAAATTAAATGTATTCCTTTATAAGAATGTCTGTGGTCATGGTGTGCCTTTCACAGCAATAGAGAAACCCTTTTTAAGACACACAATAAAAGAAAAGTAACTAATACACTAAATATTGATCATCTTTTTAAAAGTTGTATTACGTTTTTCTCTGTGTGTGTGTGTTGTACAGCACGAGTGCTGAGGACAGACTCAGGTCTGCAATCATGTTGCTAAGTGCCTCTAACCATGGACCTGTCTCACTAGCACCATATCCCCTGTCTTAATTATTTCTTTTAATGATAGAGATGATGGCTTGAGGATGGCGCAGAAATTTTATGTGACTATGCAGTAACAACAAACAAAAACCTAGATAAATACTACACATGGAAAATCCCTTGTAAGATCATTGAGTTAAAGAAAATAAGTTTGTTTTAAGGTAGTGAGTTGTGGGGCTGGATTGGATTGGTTGCTCAGTAATTAAGGCACTAACAGCTCTTCCAGAGTACCTGGGTTCAATTTTCAGCAACCATATGATGGGTCACAACTGGCTGTAACTGCAGTTCCAGGGGATCCAACACCCTTTCCCAGCCTCCACAGGCACCAGGTTCACAAGTGATATACAGACATACATACAAGAGAAGCATATCTCTACACATAAAAATAAATCTTTGTTTTTTTAAAAAGAGTGAATTATTGGACTTTGAATTATGAATGTTTAAGTTTTCCTTGGCTGGCTTTTCCTAGGGGAGCTAAATGTTTTTCTATGCTTTCTCATGACCATGCAGAGAATTACTATATAGAAAGGATTGTTTCCATTTAGGGGACAAAAATATTTACAGTCTAAATTCTGTAAAAGTATCTAAACAGTGTAAACTTCAATGCTGTCATAGTTCATGCTGTGGGGATTCTGGGATAAGACTGATGACTCTTTGGATATATGGATGCCAGGGACTGAGGTGAAACCTTAACCCAAACATTCTAGACTCTTTGGGTATAGGAGTGCCAGGGGCTGGGATGTTTCACCCAAACATCCCAGACTCTTTGGGTATATGGATGCCAGGGGCTGGGTGAAGCCTTAACCCAAACAGACACTACATGTTTTGTTTTTTTTTTTCCCCTTGCAATTCAGAAAGACATTTTTGCCAGCACTTTTGGGCCCTTAGTTATAAAATTAACACAAGACTATTGAAAAAAAAGTAAAATCGGTGTGTGTATGAGAGAGGATAGAGGAGAGAGAGAGACAGAGAGAGAGAGAGAGAGAGAGAGAGAGAACGAATGAATGTATATAAAATTGTATCTCTCTGTCATTCTCAGCTTTATTCCTATGAGACAAGCTTTTAACCCCAGGGCTTCTTCTATCTCAACCCTTAAAGCTAGGGCTACAGACAAACACGGCTGCATCTCCCTTTTATGTGGACGTTGAGGACTCACATTCAGGTCCTCATGCTGACATGGCAAGCTCTCTTAACACTGACTCCTCTCCTCAGCCTTCATTTATCTCACCTGATGCTGTCACCCATTAATATTTAAAGATGATGATGTTGCAAAAGAAAAACTGCTGATATATGCAGTTGGAAAAATATTATCTTAAAGACATTTTGAGAGCTTTTTTTGTTTCAGTACTAAACTTATGTGTTCAAGAGTATTTGAAATCTTTTAAATATGCTATTAAAATTCCCTGATTAATCTGTTTTGTTTTTCTTTTATTCTAGTGTTATCCAAGATAAATTCTGTGCAATTATAAATATCTCTGTGGAGGCCCTTCATGATGTCATGACAGAAGACCCTGAAACAAGAACATACAAAGAGTAGGTGGATCGTCTTAGATTTGGGGCTGATGAGTTTTAATTCATAATATCAAAAGTATAATTTTGTCTTTTATACAGCTTTTATTTAATTTTTTTAGACATAGTGTGATGCGTCCCCAATTGACCATGAATTTGTATAGTCAAAAGTGACATTGAACTTCTCTTTTTCCTATCTTTCACTTCCCAAGTACTATAATTGTGTCCCCCCTCATACCTGCTTTATTTGTTACTGGGGTTGGATGTGTTGGTGAGTATGCTGTGAACTGAGCTATATCAACAGGATTACACAAAGTGTTTTATTTATTATATTTTTGCTTACAAAATTTATTTGATTTATTATATTGTGATAGTCCAAATTGAGCTCTTTCAATATAATAATCATCATTTTGTGACTTGGTAATAATTTGTTTTTTTAAACTGAGCTCATAAGAGTTAATGGCTGCTGAGAATGAGGGAATTATTTTTCTGTAGGTGTGTAGTCACTGGGAAGTTACCTATGATTTAGTAGCTGCTCACACATATGCAAGCAACTCCACTGAAAAGACATGAAAAAAGAAAGGGTTCCAAGGGAATTGAAAGGGGGTGGAGAGAGGAATAGGGCATAAATGTGATCAACATACTTTATATATATATGTATAAAATTGCCAGAGAAGAAATTTAAAGTAATATAAATAAATACATAAATAAATTCCAAATATGATTTAGCATAAATTTCTTTTTAAGGATTTTTTTTGAATAGGTTCCCTTTCAAGCTAATAATGAGGACAATGGGATGAGTTGCTTTGATTTTTGTTGTTAAAAAATCTTAAAATCATACCTTTGATTGTCTAGCTCTAAAAGGTAATAGTTAAAATTATGTTCTTCTGGTAGAAATTATGGTTTTGTTTTGACAAAAATTGTGTTAAGAATACTGAAGGAGCCGGGCGGTGGTGGCGCACGCCTTTAATCCCAGAACTCGGGAGGCAGAGGCAGGCGGATCTCTGTGAGTTCGAGGCCAGCCTGGTCTACAAGAGCTAGTTCCAGGACAGGAACCAAAAGCTACGGAGAAACCCTGTCTCGAAAAAAAAAAAAAAAAAGAATACTGAAGGATAGACAGACTTACTAGCACTTGTCTTCAGTCCCAGCATCAGCCTGGTTTACAGAGTCCAGGCCAGCCTAGTCTACATAATGAGACCCTGTCTCAAAAACAAAAATAAACAAACAAACATGATGGAGGAAGGTCATTGGTTAATTAAATAAAGAAACTGCTTGGCCCTCATAGGTTAAAACATAGGTGGGTGGAGTAAACAGAACAGAATGCTGGGAGGAAGAGGAAGTGAGCTCAGACTCGACAGCTCTGCTCTCTGGAGGAGAGGCCATGCTCCCCTCTCCCGGGCAGACGCATGCGATGAAGCAAGCCGCCAGGCCAGACATGCTGAATCTTTCCCGATAAGACCGGTGCTACACGGTTTATTAGAGATGGGTTGATCAGGATATCAGAATTAGCCAGTAAGGGCTAGAGCTAATGGGCCAAGCAGTGTTTAAAAGAATAAAGTGTCCGTGTAATTATTTCAGGGCATAAGCTAGCAGGCGGCCGGGGTGCTGGGGACGCAGCCCCGCCGCTCTTAAGAATACTGATGGGGCTGGAAAGATGACTCCAAATGCTAAAGATCACTTCTTGCTCCTCTAAAGGACCTAGGCTCAGTTTCTAGCATCCACATAACTGTTCACAACTGTCTTTAATCCAGTTCCAGGGGATCTAACAAACCCTTTGACTTCTGTGGGCATCATGCATACATGTGGTGCATATATGTACCTGCAGGCCAACTCATACATATAAAATGAAAATAAATAAGTCTTAAGAATACTGATAATCACCGGGCAGTGGTGGCACATGCCTTTAATCCCAGCACTTGGGAGGCAGGGGCAGATCTCTGTGAGTTCGAGACCAGCCTGGTCTACAAGAGCTGGTTTCAGGATAGGCTACAAAGCTACAGAGAAATCCTGTCTCGCAAAAACAAAACAAAAATTAACCAAACAAACAAGAATACTGATACTCTTATTCATACATATATTAGCTTGAATTTTTAAAATAATTTATGTTGTTCTGCGGGTAATATTTATTATATCTTTTTCTTCCTATTACATTAATAAAGATATTTAGCTATAGTGTTTAGCAAGACTTCATGAGATTGTAGGCTGCTTGACATATTAATACAGAGAACCTGATTTCTTTGCTCTTTACAAAGCCATTTATAGCCAATGAGAAAGATTTCCATTTGAGTCATGTTTTGTTGAAAACACTGTAAGGAGATAAATTTGGATCTTATTAAACATAAAAATGTCTGATATATTATTTAACTTTTGAAGAATTACTATGAAATAGGAATATCCAGCTTTTTGTGACTACAAAACAGAAGTAACCACTCATGCATGAAGGGAATTTACCTTTAAAGTTAGCAGGAATTGTTACAATAAGACTTTAATATAACAGGACCATATGTTTATATACAGTGTGTAACATAATTTGGAAGTGATGGTAAAGTACTCAGGATATGTTCAGATATTTCTTGTCCAGTTTATTTTATATGAATATACTTTAAATATATGAAAACAAGAGATAATATATAAGACAAGAAAGTGCTTTTCCAATTTACATAAGTATTATGTGCGTGCACACACACACGGAATAATATATAATAAGATAAGAAAATTCTTCCTTATACCAATTTTAGCATAAAATAAAAAACTTTTGGTTTAGAAAGAAAACGACCTAATTAGGAAACTGTCATAGAAATACAAACTGATGGCTGGTGAGATGACTTAGTCGGCTAAAAGTATGTGCTGTGCACACTTGACAACCTGAGCTGAACCCTGGAATCCACAGTAGAAATGAAACAGTAAAATAAAATAAAAAATGAAATCTAAACAAAGAGAACCCAGACATGAGGGCTTGTGTTCCTGGGAGCCAGAATCCATCATTCACTGCTGTTTCCCTTCCCAGAATTACTGGGTGATTGTTTTTTCCCCGGGGTGGCATTTGTCATAGAGGAATGTAATAGAGACACAAGTTACCCCACTTGTGTGAGTTAGGCTTCTTAGTGTGGTCTGTGGTGAGTCTTTTTACTCTGTAATCTGTTCACACAGGATACAAGACACATTTAGACTTCCAGAAAAGTTCAAATGAAAAGCATCAAAGAATCATTTTAGTGGCCTGCTTACTTTCCAGCTTTTTCTTTATGTTTAATTGAACGGTTCATTGACAGGAAGCTAATCTTTCTGGTTCCGTTGGCATTTTAATTATAATGCCATTTGAGCGTGAATTAGAACAAAGGAAGAAAGTTGTTTTCTTCACCTGTGTAAGTAGTATACATATTAGAAGCCTCCGGGCGGTGGTGGCACACGCCTTTAATCCCAGCCCTCGGGAGGCAGAGGCAGGCGGATCTCTGGGAGTTTGAGACCAGCCTGGTCTACAATCTACAAGAGCTAGTTCCAGGACAGGCTCCAAAACCACAGAGAAACCCTGTTTTGAAAAACCAAAAAAAAAAAAAAAAAAAAAGAATCCTCTGCAGAAACAGTAAACAGAACTCTAAAAATATTTCTTTTAAGAAATTGACTCATCTGATCACAGAGCCTGATGCATCTCTGGTCTACAGTGGGAAACTAGACTTAGGAGACCTGGTAGTTTTTAGTTCTTGTCCATCCAGGTTAAAGGCAGAAAAATTTCACAAGTTTTAACTTAAAAGCAGATAGAGCATGAATTCTCTGACTCAACATTTTTCTGCATATTTGCTGTGTTGGCAAAGTCCCAACACATGTAGAGAGGACATTTGCTTTATCCAGCTCATAATTCAAAAACTGGTCCCATCTAAAAATAGCTTTTCTGCAAACCTAAAATATCTACCAGTACCTGGGCTCCTGGTGGCTGGGTGTGGTAGTTTGAATGTAATTGGCCCCTCTAAACCCATAGAGAGTGGCACTATGAGATGTGCCTTTATTGGAGTAGGTGTGGTTTTGTTGGAGGAAGTGTTACTGTGGGGGTAGGTTTTGAGGTCTCCTATGTTCAAGCTATGCCCAGTGACATAGTTTACTTCCTGTTGCCTGCAGATAAAGATGTAGGACTCTCAGCTACTTCGCCAGCATCATAGCTGCCTGCAGACCACCAAGTCCCACCGTTATGTTAATGGACTAAAGCTCTGAACTGAGCCACCCTATCCATTGTTTTCATTCTCAAGAGTTGCCGTGGACATGGTGTCTCTTCACAGCTATTGAACTCTCACTAAGACACTGGGTTAGGTTGACATGTAACTATCACATGAAAAAAACTTTATTGATAGCTTTCCTCTTCCCACTTGTTTAGGCCAGGCATTGTGCTGTATAAGAAAGCAACAATCTCCCTTCCGGGGAAACTGATACCAGTGGAGCAGCACTAGGATCCAAAATAGGTCAGAGAGTTCATTCAAGAGACTGAGAGCAACAATTGTTTGGGTTTTTGTGTTTATCGGGAGATTAAACCTTGCACAAAATAGGCAAGTGATTTATTACTCTACATTTCCAGCCAGAAAAACTTCTGAGGGTCTGTAGTGGATTGGATCCAACTAGTTAAGTAACCAGCATAAAACAGTTTTGGAATTTTTATTTTTTAATCAATAGAGGTCAGTGTTAATTTTTAAGTATGGAAGTGACATATAGTAGTTTGAATGAGAATGTCCCAGTGTGTTAGTTAGGTTTCTATTGCTATGAAGTGGACCATGGCAATTCTTATAAAGGAAACATTTAATTGTGGTAACTTACTTACAGTTCAGAGGTTCAGTTTATTATGGCAGGGAGCATGGCTGCATACAGGCACACATGCTATTGGAGCTGAGAGTGTTTACATCTTGACTCATAGGCATCGGAAAGTGAACTGACTGTCACACTGAATGAAGCCTGAGAAAAGAGACCTCAAAGCCAGTACCCACAGTGACTGTACTTCCTCGGCAAGGCATACTTCCTAACAGTGCCACTCCCTTTGTAGACCA